AAAATTGCCATGAAAACTAGTCAATGCAGGCCTTTGCCTGTGCCAGTTATAGAGCATGTCAGCAGAAAAGAATAATGAGAAGGTGTACAGTCAGGATTTCCAATGCTGCAATAATTCACCCTCCATGTAATGCGATGAAAAGCTGATATATTATTAACATAAAGTGGTGGTGTCCTTATGACCCCGACAGGCAATTCCATACTGTGTCCTCTTCCAGCAGGGGTGAGAGGGGCCACCAAAGAGAAGCCCAGCTGGAAAAGATCCATCAGGGGAGAGGTGGGGTGTGGTGCTAAGCAGGGAGGGGCCAGGACCCCATCACAGCAGCTATGGTAGAGAGGTGTTTAAGAGGATACACAGCACAAACATTTGGAAACCATTTTCCGGGAAGAAATTCAAGCTGGGTGCAGGAATGTGCATAAGTAATGAGGACACAGATAGCCTGGCTTCATATCCCATCGTCCTCCACATACTAGTGGCATCACTCAGTTGCCCCCTCTGTAAAATGGGATCAAAAATAGTAGGATAATAGTAGGAAATAAATATAGCTGTTGAGAGAATTTTAAAAGTTCAGTAAGACACATTTCAAGTGCCCAGGAGAGGTCAGTGGTCAGCCACCTGTAAGAATTGGAAGCATTAGGGCATGGTGAGGCTGTCGGAATCTGAATTGCAAGTCGCATGGTTCAGGGAAGGTAATGAACTGCTTAGGGCCCTGCTTTCTGTCTCTGAGTAATGGGCTGAGCTGATATGGAGTCTCCTGGACAAGGACATGGCCTGTGGGTAGCAGGTACTGTTCCTGTGGCCGCACAGACTCTACTTGTTTTCTTCTGGAAACAGCTCTGAATTTCCCTCTGGAGAGCCCTGTCCCTCATTGCCTGTTCATGAGACTCAGTGGGACCAACCTCCTACCCCATACTCTGCTGTGTCAGGAATGGGCGTGTGACCCAAGCCAGGTCTGTCACTGCCACAGCCTCAGCCTCTGCTGGGCCTGTTCAGCTGGCAGGAGAAATGGGACCTGCCAGGGCTTAGTGGGACTCGTGACTTGGAAAATAAAGCTAATACGGGGGAAAGCAGAGGAAGGCAGCGCAAGACCAGCATCAGCACTCAGTCTAAACGTTGTAGTTCTAAAAGCCAATTTCTCTAGGAGGGAATAATGGCTTAATGGGCCAGCCCATGGCCTTGCTTTTTGTGCAGTCTTGAAAGTTGGTGCCCTGTGTCCCAGCTGTAGTTAGAAGAGGCCAAAGTACAGCTCAGGCTGTTGCTTCAGAGGATATAAGCCCCAAGCCGTGGCAGCTTACATGTGGTGTTGGGCCTGTGGGTGCTTAGAAATAAAAACATGAGGTTTCTGAACCTCTGCCTTGACTTGAGAGCATGTATAGAAACACCTGGATGTCTGGGCAGAAGTCTGTTGCAGGGGAAGAGTCCTCATGGAGAACTTCTGCTAGGCAGTGCAGAAGGGAAATGTGGGAGCAGAGCCCCCACACAGAGTCCCCACCAGGGCACTGCCTAGTGGAGCTGTGAGAAAACAGCCACCATCCTCCAGACCCCAGAATAGTAGGTACACTGATAGTTTGCACCATGCACCAGAAAAAATCACAGTCACTCAACACCAGCCTGTGAAAGCAGCTTTGAGGTAGGCTGTACCCTACAAAGCCACAGAGACAGAGTTGCCCAAAGCTTGGGAGAACCCAACTCTTACACCAACGTGACCTGTACGTGAGGCATGGAGTCAAAAAAGATCATTTTGAAACTTTAAGGTTTAATGACTTCCCTATTGGATTCTGGACTTGTGTGAGGCCTGTAGCCCCCTTGAAATGGCTGTGTTTACCCAATGCCTGTACCTCCACTGTATCTAGGAAGTAGCTAACTTGGCTTTTGATTTTACAGGCTCATAGGTGGAAGGGACTTGCCTTGTCCAAGATGAGACTTTGGACTTCGACTTTTGGGTTAATGCTGGAATAGGTTAAGACGCTGGGGGACTATTGGGAAGGTATCATTGTGTTTTGAAATGTGAGGACATGAGATTTGGGAGGGACCAGGTACAGAATGGTATGGTTTGGCTGTGTCCCCAAATCTCATCTTGAATTGTAATTCCTTTTAATGCCCACATGTCATGGGAGACACCCGGTGAGAGGTAATTAAATCATGAGGGTGGTTCCCCCAGGCTGTCCTCGTGATAGTGAGTTCTCACAAGATTTGATGCTTTTATAAGCATCTGGCATTTCCCCCACTGGCACTCACTCCATCCTGCTGCACTGTGAAGAAGGTGCCTGCTTCTCCTTCGCCTTCCACCATGATTCTAAGTTTCCTGATGCCTCCCCAGCCATATAGAACTTTGAGTCAATTAAACTTTTTTTGTTTATAAATTACTCAGTCTTGGGCAGTTCTTTATAGCAGTATGAGAGTGAACTGATACTCATACACACATATATAACCTCTTACAGTGAAAAATACTTTTACTTACAGAAAACATATTTTCATGTCATCTTTTCGGTTAATTCTCAAAACAGTCCTAGCAGTAAACAAGGCATTATTATGTCATTATGACAGGTGAGGAAGTTGAGGCCCAGAGAGTTTGAGAGGTGACTCCTAAGTCAAGCAGTAGGTTCACCCCTTTCTTGCTTATGATGGAAATACAAAACCACTAGGGCTGACATTTGCAGATAATTTTCTTATATACCCAGCTCTGTCACATAACCAAAGGGCATCTATCACTAATCTGTTAGTGTCTTAGAGACCATGAACAGAGGATCAAGAAATGTGCTGGCTCACACCTGTAATCCCAGCACTCTGGGAGGCCAAGGCAGGTGGATCAACTGAGGTCGGGGGTTCCAGACAAGCAGGACCAACATGGAGAAACTCGTCTCTACTAAAAATACAAAATTAACTGGCCATGGAGGCACATGGTTAGGGGCCACTGGAGATGGGGATGTGAGTGTTTTAGGAAGAGATGTCACATGCAAAAAAGCACAGAGGCCGGGAACCAACAGTAGGATGTGTTTCTAGGATGCACATTTAAAGCGAAGATAATAGCTACTTGGGAAGCTGAGGTAGGAGAATCACTTAAACCTAAGAGGTGGAGGTTGCAGTGAGCTGACATTGCGCCATTGCCCTCCAGCCTGGGCAACAAGAGTGAAACTCCATGTCAAAACAGACAACAAAAACAAACAAACAAACAAACAAAAAAACAGAAATTGTAGCTAAGAAAAGGCTGCACCAGCACATTTCTCTCCTTTAACACACATCATACAAGCTCCACCAGGGGTCTGATCTCCTCAGTCCACCTTAAGGAGTCCCACCTGAAAAACGTCAGGTGCAGAGATATTCGTCTCAGTAGTATTTACATTGGCAAAATAATTAGAAATAGCCCAAGTAACCTACATGACAGAATGAATGTTTGATTAGATGGCTTTTTGTGCTTTTCCTTAGTGGAATATGAAGGAAGCCATTAAAATGATTTACAAAGAATTTGCAATAATAAGGAGATAGTGCTCCTATCAGATATCAATTTGGAAAAAAATGGGATACAAAATTTCTCTGAATGTTTATATATCAGTAATACATAGAGTTTATATCATTCATATGAAAAAATACAAGGTGTATAAGAATAATTACACACCAAAATTTAGTCTTAGCCTGAAGAGATTCTGGTTAATTATTGCTTTCTTATATATTTTATATGTTGCGGTTTGGATGAAAAATTTACTTTAGAAAATTCCCTTGCATAGCAATCAAAACATGAAGGGGTTTATTTCTCCCAAACAATCAAAAGTGTTTAGATCACTGTCCAGAGACACTAAAACTCTCAGTGGATATTGAGACTCCAGCAAACAAGATTTGCTTTGGGTTTTCTCCATGGCAATGCCCACACCTGTGGCACCTGCCATGTACACCTTGATTTTCTCAAAAAGGACTGTCCGTGTTGCTTTTTGCTCTCCTATCACCCAATGTTCAAAGCGCTTCTAAGTATGCAGAGCAACAGAAATCAGTGGTGGTAAAGCATGTGCAAAGCTAGACTTACCCTTCCAAGGTGTTCTTCCCAGCTTTTAAGGTCAGTGGGTCAACTGAGCCGGTGAATGAAATGGTCAGAATTCATTTCCTAAAGCAGCCTGTCCTCCCTCTCCCCTTCAATACGATCCAGCTTAGGAAACATTTGCTAAGTCCCTCCAATGCATCAGATACTGTGCTAGACTCCCAGAAACAAGCATTTTCTGTGTGAGGACAGATAAGCAACCCAATAATCTGGATTCACTGTGATAAAGATGGTGTTAGGTCAAACACGGACAAGACTGAGGTCATGAGCTCAGCTGGGCTGTGGGTCTTTAGGAGTTCTTCGCCTAAGGGCTTCCTAAGCTGGGTGCCTGAATGCACAGGTGTTGGTTAGGGGACACTGGAGATGGGGACGTGAGTGTTTTAGAAAGAGATGTCATATGCAAAAGTACAGAGGCAGGGAACCACCCGCAGGATGTGTTTCTAGGATGCAAATTTAAAGTGAAGATAATAGCCAAGGATGGGGAGGAGTGAAAGTTCTGAAATGTGGGTCATGACAGGTCTTGGGGGCCGATTCAGAATTCCGAATTTGGCATGTCGGTGTTGAGCAGCCATCTGTACTGAAGCAGAATACTGGTTCCCGGTGGCCCTTCCTGCCATCAGCTCTACGGGTGTGACTTCCCGAAACAATGAACTCCCCACTCCCTTTAGTAGCGTATCTTTGGCGTGCTCTCATATTCCATTTATTTTCTCAAATACACAAAATCCTTCTCTTCTCCGTCTATTTTCAACTCTGATTCATCAGATACGAGGACAGAATTAAAATTAAAATGAAGCCTATGCCTAAAGACCTCATCAGAAAATGTACTCTACAAAATACTTAAGAATATCTGAACCCAGGAAATGTCATCCCTTTCTCTTTACAACTCAGAAGAGTTCTTCCAGCAGAGCCGAATTTGAATTTGGCTTCCCACAGAGGAAGCCACAGGAGCCCCGGAGGGAGCCACACTCACCACAGGTTGACCAGGAAGGGGTGCTCCAGCCCCTGCATGATCTGCAGCTCCCGGAAGACGTTCCGAACCTCGTCCCTCTCGATGCACTTCTGCTTGTTCATGTACTTCATGGCATACATTTTCTTAGTGTCTCGCTTCTGCACGATGCATACCTGAGCAACAGCCAAAGGGGAGAACATTCAGGCCAACAACGGAAAAGGAAGACAGAGGAGAAGAGTCACTCCACACTGCGTTTTTACTTCCGGAATCACATCCCTGTCTTTAAAAATCTAGCGGAGAAGCTCTGCTAAGTTAGCTACAGCCTCTCTGCATCTGCGAAATGGAGGAATTGGACCAGATTCATTCATTTATTAAATATATACACGATATTGCCGGGCGTGGTGGCTCATGCCAATAATCCCAGCACTTTGGGAGGCCAAGGTGAGCAGATCACCTGAGGTAAGGAGTTCGAGACCAGCCTGACCAACATGGAGAAATCCCATCTCTGCTAAAAATACAAAATTAGCTGGGCATGGTGGCACATGCCTGTAATCCCAGCTACTTGGGAGGTTGAGGCAGGAGAATCACTTGGACCTGGGACGTAGAGGTTGCAGTGAGCTAAGATCACACCATTGCACTCCAGCCTGGGCAGCAAGAGTGAAACTGTCCCAAAACAACAACAACAAAAATATATACATGAGCCTTGGCCATGTACTAACTGCTGAAAGAGGAGCTGCAAACACAGGAGATGGAAGAAGCAGGGCCTCACAGCCCGCGAAGAAAACAGATACAAGCAAAAAGCGCCAGTGACCACAACCCTGAGATGTGTGGTGTGCATGAGCGTTGCAGACTCTGTCTGTGCCCCCCTGAAACTCCTCATCTTTGCCACTTCTGCACACAGCTGCCTGACTTCCATCCACCAGTCCTGCATTTCTCTCCTTAAAGACTCTCTTTTGCCAGTGGGCCCACTTTGCAGCCCATGCAACAGACCAGCCAAGCCAGGGAATTAATGTCCTCAGAGCAACACTCAACCCCCACGACTGTTAGAAATTGGAGTATCACTACCCCAGCTCCCTTGCCCATCACCTGGGATGAGGCCTAAGTTTGCCCAGCCCTGCAATGGGGTAACAGACTTGACAGCACTCCCGTTCCTGGCTGGCTTCCTTCCTATCCTTCCCTGCGTTCTCTTTACCTCTCCCATGCTCTGTCCTCAAATCCTTGCCTTGGAGCCTGATGCTGGGGAAACCCAAACTCAGGCATGTGGGTTCTTGGGGATCACAGAAGCTGGGACAGCTATGGTAACAGTGCTCCTGTATTGAGCACTTCACTTCAGGCCAGACCCTGAGAAAATCATCTCCTTGATCATCTCACTGAATCCCTATAAGAACCTTATGAACAAAGCATGAGGAAGCGGTAGCCCCAAGTGTACTGATTAACATGTTCAGAGTTCAACAGACCACCAAGTGGCAGGGTGGAGATTCAAATCCATGAGGGCTAGACTTTTGAGTGACTGCCTTACCTACTGGGAGTGGGAGCAGGGTAGGAAGATGGGAGCTATCAGAGAAGGCTCTCTGCAGGAATCAAAACCAGGGGTCAAGCTCTAAAAGATGGGAAGATGGTAAGGGTGAAGGAAGAGGCTTTCAGGGAAAGGAAACCCTTTCAAGGAGGACATGGCGCCAAGGAGACACAGCAAGCATGGCAGGAAAAGTGAGCAGGGCTGACATGCACCATGTGGCATGAACAGTTAGCAAGGATTACACGAGCTAATCTTCCCAGCACCCCAAGAAGGGACTGCATGGGTTTCCTGGACTGTCAGCAAGGATTGCATGGGCTAATTTTCCTAACACCCTGAGGAGGGACTGTATGGTTCCTTGGATGGTTAGCAAGGACTGCATGGGCTAATCTTCCTGACACCCTGAGGAGGGACTGTATGGGTTCCTTGGATGGTTAGCAAGCGACTACATGGGCTAATCTTCCTGACACCCTGAGGAGGGAATGCTTGGGTTCCTCGGGTTGCTGTAACAGTACCTCAAACTGGGGGGCTTAAAAAGCAGAAAATTATTAGCTAGTAGTTCTGAGGGCTGGAAGTCCAAAATCAAGGTGTCAGCAGGGCCTGTCCCCTCTGAAGGCTCCTAGAGGGGATCCTCTCCGGCCTCTTCCAGAGTGGGGCAGCTCCAGCAACCCTGGTGCCCTAGGCTTGCAGCTGCAGCACTTCCGTCCTGGCCTCCCTTGTCACACGGCATCCTCCCCTACGTCTCTGTGTCATTCATCTCCTTATAAGGACACCAGTCACCATAGCTTTAGGACCCACCCTAATCTAGTATGACTTCATCTGAACTAATTAAACTTACAATGATGCCATTTCCAAATAAGGACACATTCTGAGGTTCCAGGAGGACTTGCATTTGGAGGGGATGGGACACCGTTCCATCTAGGACAATGACTATTACTATCCCTGCTTTACAGAGAGAGGAAAGTGAGGCCCGGAAAGGTTTTAGTGCTTTCTCAAGGCTCGACTCAAACCCAGCCTCTCGGCCTCCCCAGCTGTCATTTCCACCCACAGTGTGGCCACCCGAAGAAACAGGACACGCTGGGGAGCGCCAGCAACGACACGGTCAGCCTGAGGACCCAAGGCGGGAGCTCGGGGTTTTCTCCTGGCATCACGGGCCACCCTTCTGTTGGAAATTGGACCCCATTCAGCTCTGACACGTTGCAAATCTATTCGAAGCAGATACAGAACAACGGGAGAAGCCTGAATCCGACTGCGCCTTTGGTGCCTGCTGTCTCTGCAGGCCTCAGTCTCAGCACACCTCTCTACTGAGTCAGCAAAAGCCACCCTGCAGCACTCGGGTGGACTAAACAGGCCCGGGAAGCTGAAGTGTGGGGCAGCACTGAGGGATAATCCATGTCAACTGCATCTCAATGCATTACGCAGCACATTTCATGAAATCCCAAAAAGACATTTTCCCACGAAGAGTAAAATTTTTGGTATGAGGTTGAAGGCCCACGGAACGCCCATTTCCAGCAGTGAGCTTGAGAATATAAAACGCAAGGCGGCAAAGGTATGATGAGCAAACGTGCCTCAGCGGTCCTGTCTTCGTGGGAACCCAAGCAAAGACTTCTGGTAGCCCGGGCACCAGGCCCTGAGACACACATCTGAAGCTAGACATGGCGTGGGAAGATAATCCCACTAATTAGAATTTGTCATCTCTCTGACTTCTCATTTGCCTTCTCAGAAGAGACAGTGGGCACTGCCTCTGCAGGGCTGAGACCCCGCTGTCACCTGGCTGCATCACCATGAAAAGCTTAGGCTGGGATCAGAGTCTGTTCAGCGTCCCCGGGGCTGCATCCCTTCAGATAAAGACATCCATGGCTCTCCCGGGTTTCAGGGGATGGCTGTCACCTCCGCTCAGAGACATTTTAGGAATTGGAAGTGACTCTCCAAAATTAAATTAAAACTGGCTTTCAAAGGAGAGCTAATGATTTCAATAGAGCTTGGAAGTTTGACTTTTCAATTCAAGCAAAAGCAGCCAGTTGGCACAGGATATTGGATGTGGCCTGGAAGTTTCGATTTACCAAAAAGAGAGGCCAAGAATCAGGGGTCTCGGCCAGCTTGATGCCGAGCCCTGAGTGTGGCTGGGATCCGCTAATCATCTGGGCCTTGACTACCTCCCCCATAACAGGCACCTCGGAAATATTCTACGTTTCTCAGGAACACACAGCAAAGAAGGCTAGACCGAGGCCGGGAGAGGTGGGCCCTGAGCCTAGCCCTCCTGCAGACTCTGAGTGGAGCTGTGCACAAACCCCTGGCCCTTCTGTACTTGCTTCGTCACTGACCAAGCAGAGTTGGCAACAACTGAATTAACCTGACCAGGAGGTAGAGAGGCTAAAAAAGAAAAAAAAAAAAAAAAAAGAATTAAGCTAAATCTAATGCACTGAGTGGAGACAAGGGTCTTCCAGGAAGTCACAGAGTCACAGAGAGTTTGAGCTCAGGGACCACTCTGAGCAAGGCTTAATTCCAGCTCTTTGCTGTGTGACCACAGGCAAGTGATGCACCCTCTCTGAGCCTCATTCTGCTCATCAGAGCTCCTGCTGTTCACCCTGTGATAATACACCGTGAAGCTAGCAGCCTGCAACCCGAAAAAGGGCCCACTCCAGAATCTGACTATGCTGGCACCTTAATCTGGGACTTGCAGCCTCCAGAACTGGGAGAGATAAATGTTTGTTGTTTAAGACGCCCAGTCTGTGGCATGTGTGATAGCAGCCCAGGCCGACTAAGACAGTGCCCTTATTTGACAAGGGTCTTTGCAGATGCAATTGAGTTAAGGATTATCTCAGAATGAGATCATCCTGGGTTAGGGCAGGTCCAAATCAAATGACAAGTGTCCTTATAAGAGAAGGGAAGGGGAAGAGACACATGGAGAGACACAATGGCAAAGACCTGGAACCAACCCAAATGCCCATCGATGATAGACTGGACAGGGAAAATGTGGTACATATACACCATGGAATATTATGCAGCCATCAAAAACGATGAGTTCGTGTCCTTTGTAGGGACATGGATGAACCTGGAAACCATCATTCTCAGCAAACTGACACAAGAGCAGAAAATCAAACACCGCATGTTGTCACTCACAGGCGGGTGTTGAACAATGAGAACACATGGACACAGGGAGGGGAGCATCACACACTGAGGTCAGTTGGGGGGAAATAGGGGAGGGACAGCGAGGGGTGGGGAGTTGGGGAGAGATAGCATGGGGGAAAATGCCAGATACAGGTGATGGAGAGGAAGGCAGCAAATCACACTGCCACGTGTGTACCTATGCAACAATCTTGCATGCTCTTCACATGTACCCCAAAACCTAAAATGCAATAAAAAATGACAAATAAGTAAATAAATAAAAAGATGGAGAGGGAAGCTATGTGATGACGGATGCAGAGGTTGTAGTGATGAATCCACAAGCCAAGGAATGCTGAGGCAGGCTGGCAGCACCAGCAGCTGGGTGACGGCATGGGACAGACCCACCTTCAGAGCCCCTCGAAGAAACTTACCTGCCCACAGCTGGATTCTAGAATTCTGGCCTTCAACATTATAAGATAATAGATTTCCATTGTTTTAAGCCACCTGGTTTAGGAAACTATCACAACCTATAAAGGTCCACCACTGCCACCA